TATGTCTGCAGTCAGAGCTGGGACCAGAGAGAAGAACCAGTTTCTCATAACTAGCAGGTACCCAGAGGTCCTCTTTCCCTGCACAGCAGCAGATCACACACAGCTGTGTCCAAAAAAGGGCCACGTGCACACACTGTTCTGCAGCTCACACTATCCTGCTGCCCACAGCGTGTTTCATTAAGCACAAGAACTTGCTTCGATGCATTTTGATTTCTTATCTTCATATCAGGCTCTGTATCCCTCAGGACTGCTCAGAAGGTTTAGAGAAGAAATGGAGCCAGGGGATCTTTAATTAGATGATCTTTAAGGTCCTTCCAACCCAGTCCACTCTGTGATTCCATAGCCTATGAATAAACACTGTAAGGGACAGGAAAGTAGCCTAACCTTAATTAAACACCTTTTTTCCTACACTGAAACCAACACACCCTAGGTGAGGAGTATTTTACCCAGCCAGACCTGAGGACAGTGCTTGGTCAGCCACAGCCTGCCCAGCTCCACTGCCCCCTCCAAGCTGGACTAGGAGAGCCAGAGGACAGGCAGGCACACAGAGCAGACCGTGGAAATCTGCTTCCACCCCTCCAGGCAAAAACTGGTTCAAAGTCCAAGCTCCAGGTTTAATAACAACATTGGCTGCTCAGCTCAGATCATGCTCCAGCCTAATTGAAGAGCTTACAACCTCAGTTGTTATTAACAACAAACCGTGGTGCAAAGTTGCACAAGAAGTGAAAATGACATCATTTAAAAAACAAACAAACAAAACAACACAAACCCACACTGAAGTCAACAACAATAAAGAGAAAACTGAAGATGTGAAGAAGGCAGATTTCAGTCATAAACTCAACTAGTGACCACTAACCTCCCAAAAACTCATATATATGATTCCTATGTACTCTCAGTGCAAGGTATTGCATTCAGCTCCCATTTTAGGAGCCAAATCACACAGTACCTAACAATGAGAAAGTCTGAGTATCACTGAAAGCCATCCTACTTTTTCTACCCTACAATTAAACACAACACTTAAATGATGACTTCAAAACTATTCCAGTTCAGCAAAAACTTGAGCAATTAAGCATTAACCCATGAGCACCACTGTCAAGGCAATCAGCCTTTAATTAAAAGTTCAGTTGCTACAGCTGAGTGGATGTGCAGTCACAGAGTACTGCAGCTGGATAACTCTGCTCCAGGACCCCCAGCTCCCAATGGGAAACACAGCAGCCAAAGGCGATTGTTTTGGTTCATTAGGCCCAATAGTGCCACCAAAACTAAATGGGATTACACAAAACAACTACAAGATCCCCCCCTCCATCACTGTGGGCACAAAGGTGTTAAGGAGATTCAGTTTTTGATGGGTGTAGGTAGGTAAAACCAAGGATCTGGAATTTGTAAGAAACATTTGAAGCTCATCACAGTTTTCTGCTTCACTCCTCAGCTCTGGAAAAATGAGGGAACAATGGGAAAACATAGGATTAAAATTCTTTTTGTTTATGCAATCATGTATATGCCTTAATGATCATTTATCTTAAAATCTGAACTTCAAAGTGTCAAAATACAACCCACCAGAGTGTAAACACAATAAAATACCAACTTAAAATGCACCTGTCTTCTCCCATCCTAATGATATGGAGAGCTAAAAAACCTTCTTGTAGAGCCACTAAGTTGTTCACCAATTCCACAGTCAGGTCAGGAAGAAGAGAAAACTGCCACGGCTCCCTGCACTGCTGTGGAACAGCAACATCCAAGGTTACATCCTGTGCTCCCCACAGAAGACACGCTGTGTGTCACAGAGGAGGAAGTGAGCTCAAATGAAACACACAAATAAACCCCTTCTGTCTCAGCCAATGAAACATTGCCCTGAGCACAGCTTAACTCAAGAAGCATAAAATTAAACCATTCCTATGGTTTATCTACCTTTAATGCTACACTTGACTAAGCACGCCTGGCTGTCCTTGCAGTGTAGGGAAACACCTGAGTTTTTTCTGGAGTGCAACTGGTTCTTTATCACAGGGTCAAACACTGAGCCTGTCCATCCTCAGCCTTTAAACCGGAGGAGACTCGGGCAGGACCCTGTTCTCACTCCACAGCTGACATTTAATAACCTGCAGACACCAAAATATTGCTAAGAAACCAGAGAATGAGTCAACACTTTCCCCACAGGAAACACCTTGACCTGCTTACGAGAACAAACTGTTTAGAAGGACACTCGAGGACTTTTATTTTCTGAACTTTTACTTTCTGCAGCAAAGGAAGCACCTTCTCAGCTTTCACTTTGCAGTACACCCCCAGTTTGGAGCAGAGAAGGAAATAATTTATGTCCTTAACACCAAATTACACTTTGGACATGCTAAAATGCGAAGAGATAATAATTTAAGCAGAGAGCTCTACAGAAGGCTGGTGCTTATCCAGAATTCCTCAGCTTTCATAGCAATTTGAGCAGAATAACCTACTGAACCGCAGAGGCCCTTTGGGAGCAGAACTCAGAAAGGGAAGAGTTGCTCATCACCACTTTTAAACATGAAAAAAGAGGCTGTGCCAGAGTCACACTCCCCCTCTTGAGGGAAACCCTGTGACCCCATCTCCCCAAGGTGCTGCACCTGTCCCAACCCGAGCAGCCCCATTCCCCCTGCCCTGTGCCCCCAAGTCCTGGCAGCTCCTCCTGCCCTCTGTCCCCCTACATTTGCCAATACCCCAATCCAGAGCCATTCCCTCACCCCACAGCCCCTGGATAACCCTCAGTGACAGCCATAGGGCCTCACAGACCCCACATTTACCTGCTTCCCCTCCCCTACCCCATCCACCCTGCTCTACCTCCCATTGCCGCACGCCCCCAAACACTGGCAGCAGCCTCAAATCCTCTCACCCCCCGGCCCCAAACCGGGCAGCTTCCTCACTGCCCCACATCCCCAAACCCTCTTGGGCTGCCAGCTTCTCCACAAGCCTCACACACGCCCCCAAACCTGCCAGCTCCCCTCAGTGCTCCACTCCCTAAAATCCTGTCAGCCTGCCCAGACCCTCTCAGCCCCCCCGAGGCCTCTCACGCCTGGCAGCTCTCTCAGCGCTCCGCAGTCCCCCGACGCCAGCAGCGCCTCAACAGCCTCACCTTCCCCCTAAGGAGCCGCGTCCCGAGTGGCGGCGGGGCCGGCGGGCCTGCAGCGGGCGGTCCCGTCCCGGTGCCTGGGCTCGGCGGCGGCGGCGCTATGGCAACTGGCCGCGGGGCCGGGCGGCCGGAGCGGCCCCAGGGGCGCCGGGCGGGGCAGCACCGCCCCCTGGCGGCCAGGAGGACTGCGCGCTGCCCTCAGCAGCCCGGCAGGGCAGCGCCGCCCGCCCGCGGCGGCCCCGAGAACCGCGGGTTCGAGACCCGGCCCGGGCAGGTGGGAGGCGGAGGGAACACTGCGAGGTCCCCTGTGTGCTGGGGGTGTCCTTTGCACGGGACGCGAGCACACACTGAGAGATCACAGAATGAATCCGGATGGAAAACAGCTCATCGACCACACCAGAGAGCTGAGTGCACATGCAGACTTTCCTTGACCCCACCACCGCCCTGGGCAGCCCAGTCCAATGTTTAATCACCCCTTCTTCCTCCTAATGTCCAGCCTGAACCTCCCCTGGCACAGCTTGAGGCTCCTGTCCTCTCATCATGAGATACAGACACACATCCCTATACGTGTTTACACATATATACACACAATAAGTGTAAACACACACCTATATGTGTATTTTATATGTACCAAGGGCAAATAAGCCCTTACTGCCAAAAGGCACGCCTGCTGCTTCGAGTGAGAGGTGCCCTGCCTGCCCTGGGATGGGATTCACTGCCCTGCTCCAAGCCTTTCCAGAGGTTTTCCAGGTGTTTTGGGCCTGGGGAAGAAGCAGGGAAAAAGGACATCTCGAGCTCTGCATTACAGAGCTGCAGGAGCGCCCTTCTGAGCATGGTGGGGAAAGGCTGAATGAGGATATTTAGGTCAGAAACTCCTTCAAGCCTGATTTTACTACACAGATTTAGGCCAAATGAGCCTGAGTAGGAAGTCAAGTTTTCCCAGATGGGGTAAGAGATTCCCATGACCTGAATGCTCCTGCTGTCCCCACACTGTGCAACAGGCAGCACCCACAGTGACACCCTCCCTGCAGCAACACAGCCAGAAATTCAGGACACCCCTGTCACCTCAGAGAACACCCAGGAGCAGAAGAGCTACCACACAAAACCCAGCCAGGCCCCAAATCACACCACCCTCCCCAGATGGATCCCAAAAGGGAAAAATACTCCCACAGCTGCACTTAGCTGAATGCCAAGGAGAGAAAATCCCCCCCAGCCACGATTATGCCAAGGAAAGCTGGGATGGGAAGCTTTGAAGGAACCCAGACTTCACACCATCACCTTTCCTGACAGACTGGCAGTGTCCCTGTTGAGTCACCACCCTGTGACTCCCTGGTGACTGAGTGCAAGGGTGGAATTTCTTCCATTTCTCAGGGATCACAGGGAAGATGCACACATGGTTGATCTCATGCTGAGTCTAACAAGGGTTCAAAGCATGCTGTTCCTCTTCTTATCCTGCTGGTTAGGGGAAGGAAACATCTGGAAAGCCCTCTTGGTTTAAATATAACCCCAGAGGTTTCTATTTGGCTCTTCCCTGCTCCACACTCCCCCACAAGAGCTTTGCTTCCCCTACAGAACCTCAGGCAGGGAGATAAATCAGTAATTGAAATGTGTGTACACCACCCCTTTATCCACAGCTCCAAGACAGGAACTAGCAAGGAATTAACTGACAAGAAATTAGCTAATAAGGTAAATTTCTGCTTGAAAGCTCCAGCCACGCCAGCACAGATCTCCAGCAGACAAGAAAACCATCCTCTTCCTCCTCATCCCCTCCAGCCAGGCTAAAATCCCTGAAACCTCCCCTCCTGAACTTGGGGAGCCCAGAAATGCAAATAAATACACAACTTTAAGAAGTTTTCAGTAAAAAATATGTATTTAATGTGCCAAGCATGGCCTTAGAGGGCTCCAGGAGCTGCGGTGCTGTGTTATTAGCTTAATGATCATGCCCTAATTAGTCCCAGCCCCCAAATTCTCTGTCAGCTGCCTTGAAGTGCAAGCCGTGGCTCAGCTCACCTGCCAAGAAGGTCTCTTAAACTGAGGGTATCTGAGACATCTGGGATCAAGAGGAAACTCCACATCCAAGCCTGCCCTCTCCTCGGGAGGTTGCCAAGAGCAGGCAGGAGCAGCTGCAAGGCACTGGAGCACAGGATGATTATTTTAAACATCACCACATGCAATTGAATAGGTCCTTGAGCATCAAGCAGGGCCAGTTGGTGCCAGCCAGGACCCATCTGCTCAGCTGATCCAGATCAGAACCTCCATCAGTTATCAGCAAGCCTTTACACAGTCCAGCTGTGCCCCAAAAACACCAGCAGGTCCCCACAGGGCCTGGTATTATTTTGGGGAGGAGGGAAGATCAAGCATGTCATTATTTCCCTGCTCATCAGCAGCCTGTCTCACCCCAGTGCTGCTCAACATTTTAATTAAGTTCAGAGCAGCTGTCATTAATTGAATTGCAGCTCTCAACAACCACTGCAATGTGCAACAGCTTTCTTTTTCTTTTATTTCTGAACCAAGCCCACTGTGGGCCCGAGGATGACCAGAGCTCCAGGACCAGAGGGCAGCGAGCCACGGAGGGAACAAAACCAGCACGGGGAGTTGTGGGGCCATGCAGGGACAAGGCAGCTGATCCCACATAACACCTGAGGACAGGGCTGGCTCTGGGGGATGAAGACAAGCCTGCAGCAGAGGGCAGGACCTGGCTGTCCTCACAGCCCAGCCACTGCAGACAGTATCTGTTGGCACAGAGGTCTCCAGGGAACCCCACGCTCAGTTTTCCCTCAGGGCAGAAGAACAAGAGATTTTTCGTGTCAGTCCTTCCCAAGGCTGCAGGACTCTCAGTCAGTTTGTAAAACCTTCAGTGCTTGCCTGCTTTTGTGCAGCTCCCTTGAACCTTGTGACATTTGCTTTTCCATCCCATCAGAGTCCCTGTGTGGGTGTCACCAGGCTCGGTTCCAACACGACACCATTTCCAATGTCCAGCTCCACCTGGATCCCTGCTGGCTGCAAGAAAGAACAGAGCAAAGTTTATCTTCACACTGTTGGACTCTACATCACTCCATCTCCTGTCTCAGAGCCAAAAATCCCAGTTACATCCCCCTGAGGGTTTCCTTCTGCTGGTGCCCCTGTTTTAACTGGGTCTGCTGAATGCAGATATACAAAGACAATGTGATTTGGCAAAGAAAGAACATCTTGCTCTGAGACATCCCCAGATACACCATTATTTAGCACATTCAGGATGCATTTTGCTGCCTAGCACACCACCATTCCCAAATTTGTTTGGATCAAGCAGCAGAGCAGGCTCAGGGCCAGGAGGCTCAGGCAATGCTGCCTGTGCACAGGCAGGCCTCAAGCTGAAGTCACCTTTGAAGGTGTCAGAGCCACTTCCACAGGACCCTCACTGCCCACATACCATCAGGAGAGTGAGACCAACACCAAGAACACAGTGAGCTGGATTAGAAGTGGTGCCACTCATTTATCCTGCCTATAAATACCAGCCCACTCTGTTGGGAACAGATGCTCTTCTGCTCTGCTGCATCCAGCCAGGGTGCACAAGCTCCTCTCCCACTGCCCACCCAGTGAGGCTGGGTCCTGCCCCACTCCCGCAGGAGCCAGGGCCAAGTCCCACAGCTGCTCCTGCATTCCCAAGGGATGGATCCAGGGAGCCTCACCTGCCGGGGTGACTTTGCCAGGGAAGCAGCACGTTGTGTGGAGGCTCTCTCCCAGCTGGCTTCTTTGCTCTCCAGCAGCACCCGGGTGCTGGGCACAAAACTCCAGGAGCGGCCGAGGGCTGGCTTCAGCTGGCCAGTGCTGCTGTCCCTTGTCACCTGGTTGGTCACCTGAAGCACAAACAGACTCATCAGTGCCTGGGAAAAGCAGTGCCACACGGCGTGGTGAAACACTGGAGGTCTTCAGGAGATCCTGGCCAGGCTGCTCCTTCTAGGAAGGTTTTCCCTTCTCCATCCTGAGCCCTTTCAGCCATCCCCTCTGAACACAGCCCAGGTAATTGTCCCAGGGCACTACCAGGGACTTCACTGATATCTGCAAGCTGCATTACATGTGCTGAAGTCACCACAAAGTTTAACTTGGGGCCTCCAAGTGTCCTTCCAGACACACTGTCCTTGTCACTTTATCAGAATGAAGGGTAGGACTGGTGGCTCAGCAGACCTCCACCTTCTCGTGCTGCCTTCCCTGTTCAGACACACTAATTATGGTCCCACCCACCTGTCTAGTGCATTGGCAAATGTAATTGCTTGGCCAAGAGCTGGGGAAGGCCAGAGCAGGGCCCTTTCCAGCTCCTGTGGGATGATGCAATGCCCTGCAGTTCCTGCAAGGTGACCAAGAGGTTACCCAGGAAGCTGGCCAGCCCCTTAAATGAATGGTGTTATATCAAAAATAAACACAACCAGCCTTTCCATCTGCCTGGACTTAACTCTGCCTTGCTCAGCCACTGAATGGCTGAGGACAGCAAGAGCAGGAGGCAGCACATCAGCCCAGGTCTTGCCCCATGCTTGGAACAAGACATCAGCAGGCTGCAGAGATGTCGGGGAGAAGGGCACTGGGGGCTTCAGGCCTCTGGCTCCTGCTTAGCTGAGAGTGAGATCCCCTCTCCCACAGACTCCTGAGCCTCCCCATGGCTCCTCCACAGCAGCACACGAAGGACAAAGCACAGCAACACTCACCACAACAGCAAGGCTGAACTCCCTGGCCAGGGTCTTCAGCTCCCTGGAGAGCTGCATCATCAGGGCCAAACCTGGAGTAGGACAAAGCATTTGGCTGTCTGAGGATCAGCCCCCAAAGCACATCCTGGGAGCAGCTGACATCTGGATTTGCATGAGCACTGGATTCAGCGCCAGTGCTCATGTTTATGGACACCTTCACTGGACCATGCCCCATCCTTCCCTATCTTAGAAGGCCCAAGGTCAAAAAACCCTACAAAAGCACCAGGAGCTCCAGACAAAGCTGGCCAGGTTGATTTAGCAGGCACAGGACCCATCTCTCCAGCTCACAACTTCATTTCCTACAGCCCACAGCTGTCAGGGGACTCCTGTGATAGCACTGGGCTGTCACTCAGCTGTGCAAGACCCTCTGGGAGGTGTTTGAGGGGTCTCTTTGGTATCCTCACTTCTGATCTATGGTCCTTTCTGGCAGAAAGAGCTCTGCAAACTGTGTCAGCAACCGTGATGTATTTCTGACACTGTAAGAGAAGTTTTAATTTATGGGCAAAGAGTCCAGTGCCTCCCCTGGATGGGTTTCAGACCACTGCCGTGAGTGTGCACAGCCACAGGCAGCTGGAGTGTTTGCTGCTAGCACTGCAAACAGACTCCTCTTTTATCCAGTCCCAAAGGAAAAGCTGGGAGCAGTCACATCCACATCAGTCCTGCCCCAGCCCACGCTCCAAGCACAGCACACGTGGCTGGGAGAGGTTCTCCAGGATGAGCAGAGAGCTCTGCAGCCTCCTGGCACACACAGCTCACCCTCTGACTGCCTGCCACCCAGCAGAGGGTAAATCACAGCTGACACCGAGTCCAGCAACACCACCTTGAGAGGTCCCACGGAGCTCACAGCCTGCAAGGAGGCAACGTGGAGTAACAAATCCAGCAGTTTTGGAGGCTGTGAGCTGCACAGGGGCTCCACTGTCCACAGGGTGAGGCAATCTGGAGTCACTTGTCAGGCACACAAGCCCTGCTGCCCTCCCTGCAGCTCTGGGGAAGGGAGAGGAGCCCAGAGGCTCACTCCTACCTGCTGGGAGAGGCGATCCCGCAGCTCCTGCAAGGCACCCAGCAGCTCATAGATGTTGAACACACGGACCACCTGCACCCGCTGCAGAGCCTCCAGCTGCAGCACAAAACACAGCCTCAGTTTCCCCAGGACTTGTTCTATTCCTCCTCCAGCTGCCACCAGCTCTGTGCACTCACACCACACCACAGAGCCAGGGACCCTTACTCTTCCACATCTACCTCCACCCCATTAACACCACTGCCCCGACTGCACTGATGGGAAAAACAACATGAACTGAGCTCAGGAAGTCCCTCCCTTCTGCCAAGAAAAACAACAAAGAGTAGTGTCTGTCCTGAGCATGGCACCCACCAGGCCATGGAAGGAAGGGTTTGGACTCAAAAAGGCCCATGAAGACAAGGGCAGAACTGGAAAGACAAATCATCTCTGGGGCTTCTTGCAGGCAAGAGCTAAGTGAATTTTAGAGCAAGCAAAGGGACCAGCTCCAGGGGACCTTGCCTGCTCTTCCTCATCCTCTGTCTGGGCTTGGAGTATCTGGTAGAGACGGGAGGCAGTGAAACCGCCCGTGGAGTCGAGAAACAGGACGTGCTGCTTGAGGCCCAGGGACACACTGGCTGCGATGCCCAGACACACCTGAGGGAACAGGGACAGGGTGTCAGCCAGCCCCCACATGTCCCTCTGCTTCACGGGCCTGATGGCACCACCTTCACCCTACCTGTGCTCTCCCCTGTCCTCCACCCCACTCACCTGCGTCTTCCCACTGCCCGGTGCTCCCATGAGCTCCGTCAGCTCCCCCGTGTACAGCCCTGAGTCCAGCAGCTGGTCCAGGCTACGGGATGGACACAAGTGGGATTATCAACACCCCTTCAGCCAGGATGGCAGGGGCACCGGGAGGAAGCAGACCCCAGAGATTTGTCCCTGGAGTTCCCAAATGCACACAAGTGCCTGGGGATGGTTTGGAGAATGAAATCCAAAGCTTGTGCTGGCAACCACAGCCTTGTGCAGCAAAGCCAGCCCTGGGCAGAGCTGCTGGGTGGGTGAGGCACTCACCTTGGACTGCCAGTGGGCAGGATGGCAGTGGAGCTCTTGAGCTCCTCGTAGAGGTCTGCTCCGTTGGCAGGGAAGGCAGAGAACTGGGCCAGGAGCACACGTCTGACTGCAACCAGCGCCTGGGGACAGACAGACGTCTGGAAATGGGACTGACCAACAGCCAGCAGCTGCTGCAGAAGGTCCCCCCAAAAATCCCATCCTTGTCCATGAGCCAAACGGCTCTGAGGTGTTAATGTAGTTAGGAGTAGTCCCTTCTACCTTGTAAGACAGGGAACACTTTTGGGCAACATCCTCCAGGTCTGAAGACACAAAGTCCACCACTGCAGACAACATGAGGGACAAGAGGTTGGAAACCAAGTATGGTCAGACCACAAACAACAGAAGACAACCAGCTTAGACAAAACCTGCACCAACAAGTAAAGTGCCTGTGCCCTCTGTCAACACTGTGAGTGAAGGAGTATTTCCTCTGAGATGGCCCCACCACTCATCACAGAACAAATAATCTCATGTAAAACAGAGCAGGGAGAGAAGCCGGTAAAATTTTTCCCTGTTTTGCTCAAGAGTTGCCCAGCACCTTTTCCTTCCCCTCTAAGGGCAGGAGGTGCCCAGGGAGTTGGGCATTTTTCAAAGGGAAAACTGCACAAACCCTCCTGAAATACCATAAAAAAACCCCACAATTGATTAATCCTCAATGAGCCTCTGCAGGGATTTCTTACTCTGCAGGGAGTCCTTACACTCCTGCTCTTTTGGAAAAGTCTTTACTCATTGTACCCACCCAGGAAGATCCAGAAGACACCCAGCAAGGAGGACACAGAAGGATATTCCACCACTACCATCCTCCCAGGATGTGGGATGATACAGGGGATGATGTTACCTGTCCTGATGCCATTAGCCCTGAGAAGCTGCAGCATCTCTTCAGTGAGACCAGGGCAGAGCCCAGCCTGCAGGACCACCATCTCCACAGGGAGGGAGAAGAGCAAAGACCTGCGGAGGAGATGGGAGGGCGGAATTCACAGAACCATTAGGGATGGAAAAGACATCCGAGATCATCAACCCTCAACCCTGCACCGCCAGCTCCAACACAGGATGGCGCCTGCCCCTGACGCCGGGGAGAAGCCACCCAAGCTGCGTTTGGGATGGGTGGATCCGGTGGGTAATTAATTCCTCTTTGGAGCCAAAATGCCCGAAATCCTGCAGGGGGCCACGGCTGCGGCTCCCCCCGATGCCGAGCACCTGCAGCAGAGCCCGCGGTGGTTCGCAGCGCCCGGGGCTCCCTTCCTGCTTCCTGCGGCCGGCGGAAGGAGCGCGGCCGCTCCCCTCCCCGGGATCCGCCGGGATCAGCCGGGCGCTGGGTCCCTTCCCCCCGAGCCATCCCGGGATCCGCCGGGATCAGCCGGGCACTGGGTCCCTTCCCAGCCGAGCCATCCCGGGATCCGCCGGGATCAGCCGGGCCCTGGGTCCTTTCCCAGCCGAGCCATCCCGGGATCGGGGACACTCCCGGGCTGCGTTTGTCCCGGCTCAGCAGCCGCTGCTGCCCGGGGGGAAATGAAGGCCCCCAAAGGGCTGCGGGGCTTTGCTGCCCTACAGCCTTCCCTGGCTGCCTCGGAGGCTTGAAGTTCTCCTGGGAAAAGCTGGGTTTGGGGGTATTTATTATTATTATCTTTCCAGCCGAGGCCTGAAGAGGGCTCTCGGGACTCGCTGCTGAGCCTGCCCTGCCCTCTCAGCTCTGCCTTGAGCAGCAGCAACAGCAGCATCCGACACGCTTTGATTTTTGTAGCTCAGTTTACCTGTAGTGGCAATGAACCTTTATTCTGGCTGGCTGCTGTATCCCACGAGTATTTCAGCCAGCTGAGCCCTGCCCAGTACCTAAATGTTGGAGTTCCTGGTGCGTTAATCCAGGTGAATGCTGGAAAAGCCGCTGCACTGAGTCTACCCAAGGCAGGGATGGCATCTTGCACTTTCCACAGCTGTCCCCGTGCCTTGGACCTATTCCCAGACAGGTAAAGATGTGGGAGCTGCTCGTGATGAAGCTGCCTGCAGCTGTGGTGTTGATGATTTGCTGTGAAGGGATTTACAAATGGAATCACTGCTTGCCAGGAATACCAGGGACCGGGCAGTGCTGCTGGTGGTGGGTGAATAAAACAGGCATGCACAGGGAAGTTCTGTGTTAAATCTTGCTATGTAATAGCCACAAGACACAACACAGATCACACAATTAAAGACAATGATATTTTTGCTCCTGGCGGTGTCTTGGTCAGCCCATGCTCTCCTCAGTCATTTCTCCATCCTGCCAGTCCCTGCTTTGCTTTATAGCTGGGGTGCTGGTAAGTACACAGGGGAAGGCAAGGCCTGCGTTTGGGGGAAGATAAACCAAAAAGCAGAATTCCTGAGTGTGACTGCTGGGGAACAGAATGGGTTGAAAAGCTCAGCTCTCTTGGAGCTCAGCGCTGCCCTGTCTCCTGGTGTCACTCAAATTGAGCCACTCATCACAGCACTTCCAGTGTGTTCCAGTCCAGACCTCTGTGCCAGCCCATGAATGACCAGGTGTGGGGCTGGTGGAAGCTCCAGGCAGGGGTGGGATTTCCAGCGGGATGGGCTCCCAAAGGCTCTGCAAGGAGGAGGAGGCAGCACTGGGTGTCAGTCAGCTTTCCATCCCAGGGAATTCTGGAAGGTGCTGGGCAGTGCTGCAGCTGCTGGCCTGGGGCCACTTGTCTCCAAGGCTCAGCTGTCTCATGCTTCCTTAAATAGAAAGGGAAAGGGGTCTGAGCACTGTGATAGGGGTCAGCCATCCCAGCCGTGGGCTTTTCTGGCACCAACCTCCCTTTTCCTGCTCCGCACACCCTTTGCAGCTCTGCAGGCAGAGAGGAGCTGGGATTTGCCATGGCAGGTGGGAGAGGATTCCCTGCTGCTGCAGAGGGCTGCTGCCTGCTTACAGCCAGGTGCCCCCCGAGCTGGCCCTGGCTCCCAGCCCTCCCCAGGCGTATAAAGCACGAGGGGACGAGGAGGGGACAGGCTGTGGTGACAGGTGACGCTGACAGGCAGCAGGAGCTGCCAGGTCCTGCCCAAACTTGGAATGGGAAGTGAGCTCTTTCCTGAGCCACACAGACTCTCCATAGTGCTGGCAGATTGCTTTAATTCTGTTTTTTGTCATTGTTTTCTTTTTGTTTTTTGACTCCTAAGGACCTTGATTGGTGGGAAAAGCTTCTGAGAAGTCACGGCCTTGAAGAGCCATTTAGGTCATTATTTTCAAAACTTTTCGGCCTGGTAAGCTGCTTTTATTAATGTGTGTTAATTATATGTGAGTCTCATGGTGGAACTCAGCTTGGGGGAGTAGGCAGACGACCGAGGCAGTTGAAAATGGGACACAAATTAATGTTTTTCCTTCAAGCTCTCCAGATGGAGGATCCCATCCAGCTGAAAGAGGAGGGCAATAAATATTTTCAGGCCAGTGACTATGAGAAAGCCCTTGAAAGCTACACTCAAGCCATAAAGCTGAACAAGGACAAGGCGCTGCAGGCGGTGCTGTACAGGAACAGGGCAGCCTGCTTCCTCAAAAAGGTGAGAAAAACTCCCCTAACCTGGGCAGTGCTCAAGGGGAGAAGAGCAGGAGGGCAGCCAAGGGCACTCACTGGCTGTGGACTGGGTGGTTTGTCCATTTATTGAATTGGGTCTTTCCAGCTGGTCTGAAATGAAATGTTCTGGGCTTGTGCTGGAGCTTTACTGGGAAGTCCCACTGGGAAATGGGAACAGAGAGGTCCCAGTGTCCATCAGCAATGGGGACATGCCCTGCTATTCCATGCTAACAAATCTCTCCTTTCTGGTTTCACAGGAGGAATATGCCAAGGCAGCCTCGGATGCATCTAGAGGTGAGGAGGGGTTATGAGGAGAGCTGGATGCACTTGCTCAGCCTGCTCTCACATCTGCTTTTGGGACACTGTGGCCTTATTCCTTGATGTCCACTAACACCCAAGTGCTGAGGCCACAAGGGAATTTCTGGAAGTTCAAGTGATGTTCCAATTCGGTGTGCTGGTGCAACCAGTGCTAATCAGGCACTGATTGATGCTAATAACAAAGCAAATCACAGTTTGCATAGGCCTTTTCCAAGCAGCAAGTTCTGATGCCTGGTGTTTTGGATTCCTTTCCCAGCTATTGACATCAATGCTTCAGATATCAAAGCTTTGTACCGGCGCAGCCAAGCCCTGGAAAAACTGGGGAAGTTAGACCAAGCATTCAAAGATGCTCAGAAATGTGCCACCCTTGAACCTCGCAACAAAAACTTCCAGGAGACCCTGAGGAGACTGGGTGCCAACATCCAGGAGAAGGTAAATGCCAGGGGAACAGCCCTGGATTCACAGACCAGGGGTGGGAAATCCTCGCTCTGGGTTACATCAATGGATTTTTGGTCATACTGGAAACTCGTGGCAGTATAGGGGGATAAATAGGCTCCATTGACTGGATGTTCATAACTCATGTGTGTAAATCTGAGGATTGGGTTGAATGGTGAAATTAAAAAGTGTGGAGGTTCCCTCCTGAGGCTGGCCTGGTCCTGAGTGTCTTGGAAAGATCTTGGCAAGGGACTGGAGCAGCTTTGGGTTGGGTCTGGAGGTTCCACATTGCTCTGGTTACCTTTACAGGGGTGCTGTGAAGAAATCTTTGCACTACTATGTACTGTGAAGTCTCAGAAATTAAGGTTTAGGTCTGGCTCTGCCTGAGCCCATGAGATGGGTAATGGATGCTGATTGCTGAGAAATTGTATCTCCTGTTATTCAGCTTCAATTGCCTGTGGTTTGAGGGGAGGGAGTATTCTTGAAGCGAAAAAGGAAAGTTGCTCCTCAGTTTTCTCCTCCTGATGATCTGTGCTCTCTCTCTCTTGGCACAGCTGCGCATTCAGTTCTCCACAGACTCGAGGGTGCAGAAGATGTTTGAGATCCTGCTGGATGAGAACAGTGACAAAGAAAAGCGAGAAAAGGTGAGAACCGCCCTGGACTTGGCAAAATGGCTGTTTGATGTCAGAGGCTGTACCAGGGAGCAGAACCCTGCATTCCCTTCCCCACCTCCCCTGAAAGGAGGATGAGGGAAGGAGCTGGGAGGTGAACTGCACTCAGAGAGAGGGAAAATCACCCCTGTGCCGAGAGAAGGTGGTCCAACCTCCCAAAATTCCAAAGGTGGGATCAGCCTGGACTTCTGCTCAGGTCCATCTTTGCCACTTTCCAGATGTTTCCTCCAAGCAGTGACCCACTCTTCTTGGGCAGAGCAGAGCTGATTCCTAAATGCACTTGGATAAACCGTCTGGTGGGGTCTGAGCTGATCTGCTGCATCTGTCAGGAGATGGCTCCCACCAGAATCTCCCAGAGCTGCATGGAGATGTTCTGGAGGCTGGGCTGTGCCACTGATCCCTGGTTCTTCTGCCTCCCACCTAGGCTGCAAACAACCTCATAGTCCTGGGGCGGGAGGAAGCAGGTGCCGAGAGGATTTTCCAGAATAACGGGGTCAACTTGCTGCTGCAGCTGATAGAAACCAAAAATCCTGAGCTGATCCTGGCAGCCGTGAGGACACTTTCAGGAATGTGCACAGGACATAAGGCTCGGGTAAGGACAGGCTGCTTAGACTGCTATTGCCTTTTGCACCTGGGGAGTGGGAAATTGAAAGAGTTTGTGTTGTTTGTGAGCAGCAGGAGAAGAACTCTGACTTGTGCTGATTCAGGATTCACTGAGGAAAATAGTTTCTTTGTCCCACCTGAGCCTAGAGGACACGGGGAGGAAAGGCCTTTGCTAACACCATCCTGCTCTCTCCTTCATGGGGCCAGGCCACTGCCATTCTCCATTACCTGGGCATCGACAGCATTTGCATGTGGATGTCGGTGGACAATGAAGAAATCTCCCTGGCTGTCTGCAACCTCCTGCAGACCATCACCGACTGCCTGCTGGACCAGGGGAAGGAGGAGCACCACGGCAAGGAGGAGGCTCTAGTGCTAGGTAACAGCTCTCCATTCCTGCTGCCTGCAGGAGGAGTGGGGCTCTGCTCCTGGGATTCCACCTTATTCCTTCTTCTTTGCTGGAGTGGGGACTTCACCCTTCAGCTGTACAGGAGGACAACCTGCACACAGCTCTTGTCCTCATGGATAGCTTAAATACTTCTGTTCCAGCCACACAATGGCTTTGAATGGGTTTGATTGAGCTCATCTGCTTTAAGAGGTAATTTCTTGTAACTGGCTGCTGCTTGTTTTGCTTCTGTGTAGACACTAAGAAGGAT